ATATATATTCTCTTTTTCACCCTGGTGCTAGGGATCGAACTCTGGTCCTTGTGCTTGTGAGGCAGGTGGTGGAACCACTGAGCTAAATCCCTAGCCCTGGCCCCGGCCCCTGTATTCTGTCCTGACTACACACCCTGAGGGTGGGTAGCACTCACACCCAGGGTGACCTTACCATTATCCATGCCCAGAATTATGCCACCTATACTTGTTTCCATAAGATTTCAAGGAGGTGAAAAATACCTGTTGTCTGGTGACATTGCAGCTGCATGAAGTCAGGCACAAAGCACTGCTCCTGTGCTTGTGATGATACAAATGTAGACAAACCTGTTTAGATACAGTCACACACACAGATACCACTGTGTAGTAGTCGCCGGCAGGATTCATAACAGTCCTGTGATATACAGGTTTGTAGCCTAGGAGAAACCAGTTACCTGTTTAGGAGGCAGTAGCACCTCGGTTGCTGTAAGAATTCTCTATGCTGATCCCATAGTGACAAAAGTTGCCTGATTGTCAGAAAACGTCTCTGTCGTTAAGCAATTCATGACTGTGAGCCATTTAAAATGGCATTTTTATTGTGGCAGTGGTACCAGGGATTGAACCCAGAGCTTTTACCCTAAGCTACTTCCCCACCCTTATTTTATTTTTAGTTAAACAAAATTCTTTTGCAGTACCAGGGATCGAACTCAGGACCTTGCACTTGCCAGGCAGGTTGGGCACCACAGAGCCGCATCTCCCCCACTTGATTTTTTATTTTGAAACAGTATATTATTAAATTGCTAGATTTCTCTCGGGCTGGGCTGGAACTTGCAATCCTCCTTCCAGAGTGCTGGATGGCAGGTGTTCACTATGACACCTAGCTAACTGGCTTTTGTTTTTAAATATGTTCTAATCACAGTACCTTTCTCCCTACCAATCATTGCAAAATGTCACATGTATCAAAACGCATCTAATGAGGTCTTTTTGTATTCTCTGATGAAACATAAAACAGGTACTGTAAGATTTTATTCTTTCAGTGTATTCTGAGAAGTGGCTTATAAAAGTTTCTAAACTACTGTTCCTTATTGTCAGAAATATTTACTATTCTGAAAAGTCTTTAAGACTAAACTTTAAAATAAATTAATATTTATGATAAATTAAAAATATTTGACTTTTCAAAAAATCAGTTCTTGTATTAGTTTCCAGGGTTGCCAGAACAAAGTGTCACAGACTAGCTGGGTGTGGTGGTGCACGCCTCTAATCCCAGCACTCGGGAGGCTGAGGCAGGAGGATCCCTGTGAGTTGGAGACCAGCCTGGGCTACATAGTGAGTTCCAGGTCAGTCACAACTACACAGTGAGACCCTGTCTCAAAAATCAAAACAAAACAAACAAACAAACACAAAGTACCACAGGGTGAGTGGCTTAAACAGCACACAGTTATTTTCTGGAAGATAAAGTTCTGAAAGCAAGGTGTTGATAGGGTTGGTTTCTTTTGAGGCCTATCAATCTAAAACAAAGACAACAACAACAAAGTCAGAGATTTTCCAAAGAATACTGATATTTATTTGGGAATTGCAGAGCATTGGGAATATATATGCCATATTTAAGTATGGGTACATTTAAGAGGTTGAGAAAATGGGATTTTTTATTTTTTTGTTTTTTTGAGACAGGGTCTCACTGTATAGTTGAGACTGACCTGGAACTCACTGTGTAGCCCAGGCTGGTCTCAAACTCACAGGGATCCTCCTGCATCAGCCTCTTTGAGTGCTGGGATTACAGGCGTGCACCACCACGCACTTTTTTAGTTTAGGTTTTTTTTTTTTTGAGACAGTGTCTCACTGTATAGTTGAGACTGACCTGGTACTTACTATGTAGCCCAAGCTAACTGGGATTTTTAAAACAATTTTTAAATTTGTGGTACTGGGGATTGAACTCACGTCCATGTGCTTATGAGGCAGGCAGTGGCCCCACTGAGCTAAATCCCTGGCCCAGTGGGGTTGTTTTGTAGAGGCAAAAATGAGGAGGATTCCTGAGGTATTTTGATTTTTTTTTTTTTTTTTTTTTTGGTACCAGGATTGAACTCTGGACCTTGCACTTGCAAGGCAGGCAGCAAAACAACTGAGCTAAATCCCTGGCCCTACATGAGGTATTTTGAGATAATAATTATTGACCATGATGGTGACAGTCCCAGGTTGAAGACACTTGTTGTGGAAGTGCAGGTACTTTTAGCATAAGTTGAAGCTTATGATGAATCTGTGTCTGAATTTCCTCTTTCCATAAGGACACCACTCGTATTGGATTAGTGCCTGACACAATGACTTCATCTTTGCATTTTAGACTGTTATGCTGCGTTCTAAGATGTTCCCCCCAAGCCTCACATGTTCAGGGATGGGGCTTTAGGAAGATGACTGGGCCGTGGGGGCCATTTAATCGTCAGTGGATCGGCCCGTTGATGGATTTATGACTGCATGTGCCATTAGGAGGTGGGGCCTGGTTGAGGGAGCTGGGCCACTGAGGGTGTGACCGGGAAGAGTATATTCTTGTTCCCGGCTCCTCCTTCTCTTTCACTTCCTGGATGCTGAAGTGAGCAGCTTTCCTCCCTAAGCGTTTCCTGCATGATTTTTCTGCTTTGGAGTTGCCAACCATGAACAGAATCCGCTAAAATTGTTAGAAAGGAAAGAAATCAAAGTCTACTCCATTGATGGGGAACGATCACACCTAATGCCGTGCCCTGATCATTTACAAAACTTTTTAGAGAATAGATGCCTCCCTTGCTGGTTAAAACGGAGAAGGGCAAACTTATCTTACATTGTGACCTTTCCTAGGTTTTCTCTTTTAAAGTTTTCCCTATCACTATGAGCCAAAATTCCTGCTCTGTAAGTTATGGGAGTTGTATATTTCGTCCCAGTGATGATGGAATGTGACTAATACAAAGGCACAAAGTCTTTATTTCTGTAGAGTGTGGTGGCACACGCCTGTAATCCCAGTCCTCAGGAGGTTGAGGCAGGAGGATTGCTATGAGTCCAAGGCCAGCCTGAGACCCTGTCACTAAAACACAACACAACAAAGCAAACACACCAAAAAAATAAAAAAAAAAAAAAAAAAAAAAAAAAAGGAAAACCAAACCAAACCAAACCAAACCAAAGGTATTGGGGGGGTTAGAATTTTAGCACATGAGTTTCTTGGGGGGAGCAGGGTGACATAATTCTGCTAATAATAGTATTGAATTAAGATTTGAAAACCAGCCGGGCAAAGTGGCTCACACCTGTAATCCCAGCACTCGGAAGGCTGAGGCAGGAGAATCACCGTGAGTTCGAGACCAGCCTGGGCTACATAGTGAGTTCTAGGTCAGCCTCAACTACATAGGGAGACCCTGTCTCAAAAAACCAAAAAATAAATGAATAAATAAATAAATAATAAAAAGGCAAAGCAGGTCCTGGGAGTGCAACTGGCTAGTGAGTGCGAGGCAGGCAGCCCTGTGGATTCTAGTCTCAAGGCGTGGAATAGTTTATTTTGCATTTTTACTCAAAAGCTATAGTATGTACTGCTTGTCTTTAGACTGCTTTTTTATTTGGTTTGGTTAGGGTTTTTTTGGTACCAGGAATCAAACTGCTTGTAGGGCAGGTGGCAGAACCATTGAGCTATATCCCCGGCCCTGGACTGCTTTGTTTTATTTATTTATTTATTTATTTAGGTACCGGAGATCAAACTCAGCTCCTTGTGCTTGCAAAGCAGGCAGCGGAACTGCTGAGCTATATCCCCAGCCCCTGCTTTGTTTTAAATCTGATTAAATATTACACTCTAAAAGGGCTGGGGATGTAGCTCAGTGGTACAGAGCCTTGAAAGCACAGGGTCCTGAGTTCAATCCCCAATACTGGAGGGAAATTACACTATAAAGACATGCTTTGCCTTAACAGGTGAGTTTTTAACACTATCTAAGCACAGTTAGGGGAAAGAACTACGTAGCTAGGAGCACAGATTCTGGAATGTGACCTGTCTGTGTTTGGATCCCTCTCCACACTTTCTATGCTGTGTGACTTAGCTCAGGGCTGATCTTTGATTCTCAGCTCCCTCCTTTGTCAAAAGATATCTGTGTGATCATAAAGATGAATGATGTGTGTGAAATATGTAGTCCTAGCAAGATAAATGAGAGGATTAATTTCAGTTTAATTTCTTGTGCTACTGATAAGAAGAATTGTGAGGTTGAAGGTGAAAAAGAATGCAAAATAAAGAAAAGCAACCAAAGATGGCACGGACCCTATAGGGTATGTGATATTTTATTTATGTGACAGTAATTTTCCAGACAAGAGTTAATCTTAGATAAGCACGTGGTTACAGAAAACAAGATCCTGGGTTCCCCCGCCACCTACGAGGAAGGAAAAAAAGTGATTGCAATGAATATAGTAGTCAGATCGCCTAACCATAACCATGTCTAACACCACCTTTGGCCTGGGCCCAGATCTATGTGTGTGTCCCAGTGCATTATCTCAACCGATGCTCACAGCAGTTTCTCTAGTCTATGGCCCAGGTACTAAGAGCAGTCCCAACTTGGAAACTGAGGCAGAGAGATTTGTGACTCATGCAAGGCTGCAGTGCTGTAAATGACAAAGCTGGCATTAAATTAGGCAGTGTGGAAATAGAGGCCTCTTTTTCTCTCTTTAACCATTAATTTGTGTGTTGTGGTTTAGGTAAGACTAGATAACTTTGTTTCTTCTTAGTGGTATGTACAGTAACGGGACATCTTAGCATCGGGGCATCTGCCTCGTGATGAAAGATGCTTTAATGACACCCATGCACTCACCATGAAGAGTAAACAGTGCTAGCTTTTCCCAGATCCCTGATTCTTCACCACTCCACTCTGTCCCAGGAATGAAGCAGACCTTCAGAAGAGGAGATTTACTACAGGAAGTTATGTGCTCACAAAATATTCAGAAGGACCAGACACATGCTTTCTAGGAACAGCTTGTAGACCACTGTGGACCCATCCGGCCACAGAAGCTCATAACTCCGCTGTGACCTGGACAGTGGGCAATCAAAGGCCTTCTCTGTTCTGTTGACTTCAGGACACTGCTGTGGCGAGATCCCCAGTCACCAGAGAGTGGTCAATGCTGTAACGACCTCTCTACACCCAGAAGTCACAGTTTGGACAACAAAATTCGGATTCAGAAAGATACCATGTTTCCATGACCTGCTTGCTGGCACAAGACAGCTAAAGCAGACAGGGCCTGTGCCCCCGTTCCATCTTCCAGGACACACTAAGGGTCACCAGTTCAATTCCAGAAACCTATCTGCTAGGGAGTCTGGAAAGTGTATTTTTTACAAAAATTAATTTGAAAAAATTTTAAGCTTTCTAGGCTCTGCTGTTCAAGAAAGAATAGAAAAGTAGAGAATACACGCCAAAGGCCAGGGCACATATCTGACACACGCAAGGCTATGTTATCGTATGTATTTCTTTCCCTTTGTTAGCTTTCAGGCTTGAGAACAGAGCTGTTTCAAAGCTGTGCATTGCAGAGGATAGAGGCAGATATATCTGGGTGGGAATTTTGAGTTGCCGAGGGTCTGTCGTGAAATGCTCAGGGTCTAGGATTTGACCGCTCTCCCAAGGTGATAACTCAGCCTGATACTCTTCCTGGGGCTGAGGAGAAAAGGCCTCAAGTCTGAGATTTTGCACCCTAAGTCTCCCTGGGTGATGCGAAGAACCTGGGCGGATGCTTGGGTGCACAGTCAGTTGCCTCACAGGAGAGGAACGCTGCTTCTCAGGAGGAAGCAAGCCTGCTCTTTGTCTAGGGGAAAGGGTTACTTCAGCTGGCCAGCATGCTGGCTGCCATACAGGCCTGGGAGGGTCTGGGTCGAGGGTCCTGAGGGCCTTGCACACCCCAAAAGAATACGTGACAAGCTTGGGGCCTGTGGGGGACTGGTTATCCTGTTCTCCTTTCTTCCCCTGCACATCCCTCCTCCTTCTTTTCTAGGCCCTGGTGGCGGTGGTGGTAGTTATGGAACACTTTTCAAGGGAACATGAATCTTTTGGGACAAGTGTTTTCTCTTCACACAGAGTTTTCTCTTTATCTGCCTTGGAGGCTCTGGCTGAAAATATTTAAGTAAGAGTGACTTAGAAGAAGTACAAGCAAGCCTAAAAGTTTGAAGGCAGGCCGGGGATTTAGCTCCGTGGTTCTGCTGCCTGCTTTGTAAGGGCAAGCTTCTGAGTTCGGTCCCTGGTACCAAAAAGATAAAAGTTTGAAGGGTATCTACAGACATCTGCTTCTTCTCCCAGTGTACCGATTACACAGGTGTTTCAGTCCAGGCAACTTATATACGCAGTGAAATGAGGCAGGGGTGACTGTGAGTCATTTCCTTCTAGTAATCTGAAGATTAGGGCTGATGGAGCCATTCCTGGCCTCTTCCGAAGTTGTACTGAACTGTGAGGGAGAAAGCAAAAGGAACATTCCTTCCTCAATGTTTTCTTTTTGTTTCTTGTGTGGACAGCTAATTGGAACTTTAAAATTCTGTCTATGACCTTTCTTTTAGTGACAATAAAAAAAAAAATCCATAGGTCCTTGGAGCTGTTTTCTAGTTTCACACTGTGGCTGACCAAGGGTTGACCATGGGCAGTTGATGTCTGTGTGCTCAGGGACCCGGGGGATGGATTTCCTGTAGGGAAGTCCCGTGCTGGTCCTTGACACAACAGACCGAATTTGCCAGAGCATCTGAAGTCTGGAAAGAAGGCTGAAATGACAGAATGTGGCACAGCACTTAGAAAGAGGGAAGAAGTGACAGATCAAGTCTGTTTGGATACAGAATCTTTCTCTTTCTTTCTTTTGTATCAGACATCTAACTCAGGATCTTACACTTCCGAGGCAGGTGGTGGGACCACTGAGCTAAATCCCCAGCCCTGTTTGGATTGAGGATAAAATCAGAAGAATATTTGGGTACAGAAAGTACCACAAATCTTTGTCCACCTTATCAACAGTAAGGGACTAAAATCTGGGCAGGGGTGGCAGCTGGAGTTATACTCCTGTGTATACAAAAGTGACCGGAGGGCTGGGGATTTAGCTCAGTTGATCCACCGCCTGCCTCACAAGTGCAAGGACAGGAGTTCGATCCCCGGTACCAAAAAGAAAAAAAAAAAAAAGAAAAGAAAAGTACCTAGAGGACTTTCTTGATTGAGATTTTAGGCAGAGGGAACAGCCACAGGGAAGGAAGAAATGCATATCTACCCCATTTGATCATCAATCCAGCAGCTACTGGATCTGTGCTGTTTCAGCAGGGACTTCAGCTTGTTCTTTGGTATCTACTGACCTTCCTTGTCCTCCAAGGATTTGCTGTAGATCCATAGGCTGCTGGACTAAAGTGAAATCATTAATAGATACAAGGTGCACTGGCAAGTCAAGATGTGGCACAGCCAGAGGGGGCCCTGTAAAAATTGAGGGTTGTCTTAGTTACTTTTGTCTTGTTGCTGAGACGAAATATCCAACACTCAAAGTTAAAGGGGGGAAAGGTTTACTTGGCTTATAGTTCATAGAGGTTTCAGTCCATAATCAGCTGGCTCCAAGGCAGAGTGGCAGAGGGGCATCGCAGAAGAAAGAACATAGCGCACAAGGTAGCAAAACAAGAGATCTTAACAGCGTCTTCCTGATGTTTTTTTAATCTTTTTTTCCTCATTGAGATTAGTGGTACATTTTAGGTATACAGTATAGTTACAGTCATCATTGGGATCTTGTACCCATTTTTTAAATCTTATTCAGATGACTTAAAGGCAGCATTCATGCATTTAATCCTAGTGCCCGCAGGCCTAGCCCCACCAAGAGTCATTACACACTAGATTCAGCCACCTCTGAAAAAGCATGAGGCTTTGGGGGACAGCCAGACACAAGCCGTAACAAGGGTTAGGACAGACTTCTGGAGCACTCGGGTTCCGTCATCTATAGATCAGCTGGGTGCCTTTACCGCCTCACTTGACCTCTCCGTACTTGTCACATATTGAAATGGAGAAGACACTCTCACTGGGTGAGGCCAGGGCACATCTTCTGGAGCACTCGGGTTCCGTCATCTATAGATCAGCTGGGTGCCTTTACCGCCTCACTTGACTTCTCCGTACTTGTCACATATTGAAATGGAGAAGACACTCTCACTGGGTGAGGCCAGGGCAACGTGGAATGGCTTTGGCATGGCAGTAATAGCCAGTGCAGCACTGGTACGGGTGACAGCCCTCTCTCCTCCACTGGTCCTGCTCATTTCAGTTACTACTCTGTTTGACTTATCTTCAGGCTTTCATGTGCAGCTTGCTCCTCCATTTCTTAGTGCTCCTTTGGTTTCAATATCTACTCTTTTCTGGTTCTTCCTCCTTTTCAGGCTCAGTTGGTGTTTCCAGGGCCTGTCTTCAGCCTACATCTCTTTTCCACTTCTTATCTTCAGGCTTTCATGTGCAGCTTGCTCCTCCATTTCTTAGTGCTCCTTTGGTTTCAATAATATCTACTCTTTTCTGGTTCTGCCTCCTTTTCAGACTCAGTTGGTGTTTCCAGGGCCTGTCTTCAGCCTACATCTCTTTTCCACGTGGATGATCTTTCCTATTGTCTCATCCTTTCTTGCATCACCCTGAGTGGAGAACTAGTAGACTATATCCCTAGTCCAAACCTCTGTGCCTCCTACGTCCAGTGGCTGAGGGACATGAGCACTTGGCTGTCCCAAAGGCGTTTCAAACCCAAACATATAAACTGGGAAAAGTCTTTCCCACCCCAGCCTGTTTCTCCCCTCATGCTTTTATTGGACACCACCGTCCTAGCCACCCAAGTGTGAAGCTTGGGAGTCCATCCACATTGGCCCATGCTCTACATCGTGTCAGCTGTAGCCTGGCCATGTGTACCTTTGCAGTGTGTTTTCGGGGGCTCCTTCCCTGCCCCGTCACATTTGTATTGAGGTTGCCTTCTAACTTGTCTCTGTGTCCACCGTGAGGTCTCTCTTCAGTCCACCGTTCACTGCCACAGCCAGCTTTCTGGCCAGGAAATAAGAATGTCACAGGCCCCTCAGCCAGCACAGCACACAAGTTATGAAACCCTTGCTGTTTTTTTCTACTCTGTACTCTGTGTGTGTGTCTGTGTCTGTGTCTGTGTGCAGGCGGAGATTGAACTCAGGACCTTACAATTGCAAGGCAAGTGCGGTGCCACTGATCTAAACCCGGGGGCCAACTCTGCACTTCTTATAGCGGAGTCTCCTCCCATCTCTGCATTCTCGCAGCAATTCTCTTGTTTACTTGTATGACCATGCCCCAGTGACTTTGCACTTGCCTTCCCTACTTAATGGGTATTAGGCTCTCCAATAGGTTGGCCTTTAGACTCTACTGTGGTGGGTGAGACAAGGTAGGGGCCCAGGGCACAGAAATAATAAACGAACAGGAATAACTCTTAGGGCACTCTTCCTCAGCCTCGGAAGTTAGTGGTGACCCTCTCGCTCGGGGCTTCTGCGCTCCTCGCCCTCGCAGGTGAAGGGCACGGGGTGGCTGGCTGCCTGCGGGCTGGGCT